AAATGTTCCATTTGATGGTAAATTCCAGACTTTTGCTGAGATTCACAATTTTCCAGTTAAAATTGCTCAGCAGATTTTTATCCATGACTAACGTGGCATTATATTGAAAATGTAACCTGAATTGCTGCAACAGTCAGGTCAGGAGTAAGATGCCAAATGTTTCTTTGTTCCTGTAATTAATTCACTGGAGGGGGGAGTGATATAGTTTTAGTTACTTTCTCAGGTTGTTGGTGCAGCCTTAAAGCATTTTCAGACTGAGTAAAATTTGGTTGGTATTGCTATAAAACTTCCGGTCTTCAATCCTGCACTGCATATATTTAGAAAAAATTTAGTTACAAGCATAAATATTTTTCTTGATTTATTTTCCTTTCATCTTCATTACCTCTGTTTCTTATTTCTTAGGGAGTAACTTGTTCAGTGTAGCATAAGAAGTGTTATACAGTTTATAATGTGTCTTGTGCTTAGGGAAGGTTGACTTAAAATTTGCAGCAGCTCCTTAAAATCTTCTTGCAGCTGATCACTTTAAATGGGTCCTACTCCATTTTTATCTACTTGGTTGGCTATACAAACTGTTTTGGTATCAAACATTAAAGATGCTACAACAGACCTCATCATTTTGCATAATTTTAAAGGAAATAGTTTTACTTGAAGTAATTTTTTGTTAGGAACTGGCCACTATAGACATAAATTTCCTATGCAGAAAACTTCATCCATGTAGGGATTTCTTTCACACCAAAACAGATGGAAAGATAAAGCCAAAAATCTAGTAAACCGGGCACATCTTAAAAGCAAATTGATGTTCTCCAGGTATCTCTGAAAAGTGTCAAAAACAAAGTAATTCAAAAGGAAACAATTTCAAGAAATTACAGATGTCTCAGAGGCAGATATTTTCCAAAATGTGTACCTCACCACTTTGCTTTCATGGATACAGTACACAGAAATTGTCAACAAAATAACCTCAACCCCTTTCAAGGACATCTAGAACACATTTTTTGGGATTGTCCATAGAATGAAATGTTTTGACTCGTGTATGTAAATAGATTTACAGAAAACATTGGACATAGGCTTTGATAAGATACTCAAAGGCTTTAAGATTAAACCTACAGTTTAAAGTACACCTCTACCCCTATATAACGCTGTCCTCGGGAGCCAAAAAATCTTACCGCATTATAGTTGAAACTGCGTTATATTGAACTTGCTTTGATCCACTGGAGTGCGCAGCCCTGCCCTCCTGGAGCGCTGCTTTACCGCGTTATATCCAAATTTGTGTTATATCGGGTCGCGTTATATCGGGGTAGAGGTGTATGTCTAAACAAGGTGTAGCAAAGATCACAGCTCAGGAGATAGTCCTAAAGCCATTTTGAGAAGCCAAGTGAACTTCTTGTAACATGCAGGAAACAGACAGCGACCTGTAATTAAAATTAAACTTTTTTATTTAAAATGTCACTTTTGTGTAATAAACAAAACCTGCATGCATGCCCAAGTAAGGCCAGATCTACACTACAAACTTTTGCTGGCAGACCTCTTTCAGCGAGGGGTGTGATTTGTGACCAAAGTACCTGTGCCAGCAAGAGACCCTAGTGTAGATGTAATTATACTGGCAAAACTGCTTTTTTCTTGATATAGTTTACTTTTGCCAGCATAGCTTATTCCAGCCCCCCCTTGAGCAAAATAAAGTTGTGCCAGTATAAACTGTGTCCAAACTAGGAGTGCTTTGCCAGTATAATATAGATACTAGTCTGGACCTGGGCTAAAACAGCACTGTGCCATGTACCTGTGCCCTGTGTACCTATAATGCCTGTATATAAATCCTTTAGGGTATCTACTTGTTCATCTACATCTATGCTTATTGTTACTTAATCACGTAAGTGTACACATGTATGTATAACAGCACCTCACAAAGAAATTGTATTTTTACCCATATAACATTACATATAAAATGCTTGACAGTTAATCAAAATTAAGAAATGCAAAAGTTAAAATGCCAACAGCAGTGTTAAACTGGCCACATTATCTACCCAGTGTTTTCTATTCCTGTTTAAATAGTTAATTACTTATCATAGCTTTGTTATTGTATACCACAAAATATACAGGATATAGAGTGTGACTTAGATTAATTGCTATAGCTGCACATGGCCCTGGCTATAATGTTAAGTCTAACTGCAGAATGTTACCACAAATACTGGAAAGACTGTCCACCAAAATACATCAAGAGTACTTTTAAAAGGTTATCTTCATAACTGTGAATGGTGCTACTGTACTGACTAATGATTTGCAATAGAAGGTCCAGCTTGACGTTTAAAAATAGAGAGGGATGCTCAGTGTTTGAATCCATGATAAGCCAAGAGGCTGCCATGGTTGCAAGGCAACTGGTTGAACTATAGTTAGTTAACAAAATACATTAAATTTAAACATTGACTTCCCTTTGTCATGCAATCGTACATTGACCTATCTCTGCCGAAAATGGCAGCTTCCTGTTTAATTATTTTTATTTATATTTAAGATTCTTACTCATTTTTAGTGATTAATTCTTCACTGCAATGTCATAAAATATATTTTATATTGCAGTTTTCCTCTAATTCTGGCTAACTTTAAAGGGTTTTCTGCATTTTTTCACATTTACTGTGAGCTAACAAAACATTGTTAGTTTCATGGGTACATTTTTATGGCATCTGCTAGCTGGAATGTGGTAGTGGCTAATCAAGCTTGTCTAGGATAAGCCAATAGAAAATATGTACTTAAACAGATGTTCGGTCAAGCTTTATCTTAAGCTTGATTGCTGTATTGTAGGTTAATCACTACTTGAGTATGTACTTCATCTCCTTGTCAGCTGAGAAAAAAACTGTTAGCAAAATTAAAACTGCTGGAAATTGTGGTTCATGTGGTGGTCTTTCATGAGTGAATGGCATACTTAAAAAGCAATAACAAAGGTGATAGTTACAGTTGTGTAAGTGTTCTTATTGTAATACCCTGTTTTCAGTTGCTCAGGACTCCTCAAAACTTTTCTGTATGAATATGTAATTTTTCCAGGCCTTATTTCTGCAGTTTTTTTAAAGCGTGAGAGAAACTGTTCTGCTGTTTTGAAGGAGTATAGCTAAAAGCCCCAAACCTTTCCCTATAAGTTTGGGAAACCTTTTTGGATAGCTTTCTGCTGCAACAATTTTTGTAATAAAATTAACATTTGGCAAGGAAATAAATCATTAAGAATCTTTGAATGTTCCAGTGAAAATTGGTTAGATTGTTTTTAACTGAGTTATGAACAATTGATCATAGCACTTTGTGCATATAGGTACTCTGGGGCTACTGCTTTTAGTGCATTTCCCAGTGTTCTAAGTAATAGAAAAATTATCACTGCTGATCTTTTATAAAAACTATCTCAATTCACTCTCTGTGGCATAAATAATAAGTAGTGCCCATTATTAAAAACTGCTAACATTTGTATATACACGCTAGAAAAAAGTATATTGTTTCATTAATGTTTTTTATTTATTTTAGATTTCAGCAATAAACCATTCGGAAAGTGTTAGGCAGCCTGGTAATTAAACTTAAAATACAATGACCACCTAGCATCATTATTCATGTTAACACTTTAACTTAGCCAGCCAGTAAATCAAACTAACAGAGTTGTTGCTTTACATGCCCTCCTTCTCCTCAAGTGTCCCCTAAAACCCACTCAAATAATATTGTACTATTTGAGAAAAAGTATAGTATCACATAGGATCACATAATTGGACTAATCATAATATATACACAAGTGGTAGAGCTAAGGTTGCACATACAAACTTGGGCTTCCTGACTGGAGTTGTAACTGCAACTGTAACAATATTTATTATTTAAAAATATAATGCATATTTATCTATTTTTACTTATAATAGTTGTCTCATTTGTATTCTAAATGCTGGTGGTCAGCTGAATTTCTTTTGCTTTTATTTTTGCCATTTTAATAGTCTGATCTGGTAAAATAATCATCAAAGACTTGCTCCTGGCTTCTGGTTTATTGGTCTGCATTGGCAGATGTGTTGCATTGTAAAAGCAGGTACTCTGCACCTGTACATCAACCAATTTTCTAATAGCTCTCAGGAATGTGTGTTCATAAGGGGAGAACTGAGCTTGAAGTGTTAGAAAAAAGGTTGCTTAAAGTTTCGTTTGCTAAAAGTACAATTTATTCAGACTACATTGGTATGTGGTGGAAATAAAGTTATTGTACCTTTACAAAAATTTTCATAACTATTTTTGACCTACTCCCCTTTACAATATCTGTGCCCCTTTAAAACTCACTTCACTGAAGTTAGGATAGTTTTGATATGGAAAGTATTCCTAATGAGCTATATCCTGCCTCTTGGCATTGTTTGAGTTTTAATGGGAAGATCCTATCATGTTCAGATGTTCAAAACAACATTGCAAATTCCGTGTGAAAATATTTTAATATTCCATGTGATACTAATTGGTGATTAAAGCAGAATCCTAGGTATCTGGGCCGCATAGTTGGAAAGACCAGTGTGGTAGGGAAGCAGAGCAGTGGAGCACTGCACAGCTGATTGCTGCAACTTGACTGTGCTGCCTTACTTGGAAGGAAGATTAGTGACTGGGCAGTACAACAGTCTGTCAGGCTGTGAGAGTGATTTTTTGAGGCAGAATTAGAGGGCATAGGTTTGGGGATGGATCACAAATTTGGTGTATCCCGGCTCTACTTAGCATTAAACCATCTATCTGATGCTTTCTGTGTGAAATTATATTTTCTGCTTTAGTTGTTGGTACAATTAATATTCAAAACAGTAATTTCCATCTCAATGGAGTGTTTATTTAGCAGAATTGGTGTTCAACTGAAAAACATATTTTTTCTCTTTCTCAGCAATCTAGCTGTTTAAAGCTGTTGCTCTTTGAAATATTTTATCTTAGGAACTCTGAAACCAGAATCAAGTTAACTGTTGTCTGGTATTTGTGCAGTTGTCTTTGCTAATGAGTAAAATGTTATCTTCCTTTTTCACTCTGTCTTTCAGTTGGTATTGTAGATTCATCGCATCCTGTAAGCCAGAATGTTCAGTTTACCAAGCCTGGTGTGGAAACATCTGTTGTTTCTTCTGCTGTGACCTCTTCAATAAGAACACCTGTTGGAGACCACTTAACTGAACCTGCTTCTGTGCCTTCCAATACACAGCCATCGGAATCACTGCTTCAAGAAGGTATTAAAAGCAAGAGGAGAGTTAGCTTATTTTAGAATACATAATAGTAACTTAACTTTTAATATTTATCAAGGTTTTAATAGTTTTAGTTTTATTTTCCCTTTTTTTTTTTTTTTTTTTTTTTTTTTTTCCTTGTTGACAAAACATATCTGACAGTGAGCATGTAGGGCAAATCTCTGTTTTGTCTTGTTTTTTTTTTAAAGCACAATTTGAATTGTCTCTTTTTTTTATTATTTTTTTTATAGACCTATTTGCAACTTGTTCTACATACATTTATGTATAGGGTTTATAGTAGGGTTTTTGCTTTCTGTTGAAACTCCTCAGGGCACCCCTTGCTGCATCCTTTCAAAATGCTGTGTACCGTTATCTTGTGTCTGCATTTATTCTGTTTCCATTCTCCTCTCTCACCCATTTTTTGATCTTTTTATACTGTTTTTATTTTTACTTCCCCTCCCTTAGTCATTCCTGGTTATTCCAGTTCCCTAATTTGCCAAAAGGCCATGTGCTGTTCGGGTAGTGTGCATCCATTGGTGATTCTGTGGGATTTGGTCATGTGCTGTTGCAGCTGATCTACTGTTTGAAAAGCAGACATAAAAAAAACTTGGGCTGGGGAGCTGTTTCCTGAGCCTGTAGCCCTATATAAACTGCTCCTGTGGCAAGCTGCAATAGGGACTGTTGTAGGAGCAGGGAGGTAAGCTTTCAAAGAAGCTTCTTGGTGCTTTACTCATGGCAGCACATTTGTAGTGGGGAACTGGAATGAATCTAGGCTCTTGCACCTTCATCATCCTCACTGATTCTCAGTGGTCTCTTCTGGCTTGCCTTCCAAGTTGTAAAACACTACATTATGTATAGATGGAGATTCCAGTTTCCATATTCTTTTTTTTTTTACACATTTGCAGTGTTTTCTCTTGGCTACTTTAGTGCTCTGTAACTTCCTACAAAATAACATTTTAATATATTTGTTTAAATAGTGAACACATAAATTTGAGCAGATACCAGTTGTTTCAGTTACAATAAAATATGTGCAGGTTTAAAAAAATTCTCAAAAGCTTTTAAATCTTAAATACTTGGCTCTGATACAGTGTTTTCATATATAGGTCTCAAAGCCCTTTTGTAATCTGTGTTATGATCCCCATATTTATCAATGAATAAAAAACCTAGGAAAATCCATTAAAGTAATCTATTGTCTATCAACTGGACTTTTATCCCCCAATCATGCGGAGATGAAAACTATTAATTGTTTGAAAAGTACTGTCCCCACACTAAATCTTTTTAAAATCATTACAGAAAGTGATGTTTGTGGAAATTGATTTGCAGCTGCTGTTTGGTTAATGGAGTTTGCTACAGCACAATGTTCCTTAATCCTCCTAGGCAGTCTCACAATAATAACTGTCATATACAAAGTGCATGCAGAGTCTGTGCGTCCAAACCAGGGAGGAAATGTGATATGATTGCATATTTAAATGTATATATTTATCTTAATGTGCGGTATTCCATATGTACATACTAGCAGTGATATGTATGGAAAGTACAGACATTTGATACATTCTATACAGATCATTGGAGGTATTGCTGAATACACAGCTAAATGTAAACATCTTCATAAATTCAGTCTCTTTCAGTGTATATAGCACAGTTGGATAATCACACTTTCAAGACAGAGATGTCCAAATGGTATGACACCACGGCCCTTTTTAATTTGCCAGGTGCCTGAGGGTTCTACTGATTGCATATATTTGTTTTAATTTTATCAATAATAAATGCACGCAATCACATTTCTTGTACTTGCCTCTTCCTTGACATAGGAATAAAAGTTGTTGGCATTCACTGGCAATAGAAACCTGTAGTTGATCAGCTTTATCCTCTTCAGTTACAGGTTCATTTCAGGTCTCTGAAATGCTGCAGTTAAGGCACTCTTGAAATATTTGTACCAGTGATTATTTGAATGTGGGATCACGTAATACACTTTTTTTTTCTCATTTGGGAGGGATTCTGCCTGTAGTACAGATGAGTATAAAGTGTCACCGATTATTTTTTAGGTTTAATAAAGTGTGCTCTTCCTCATGGCATGTGCCCACTGGGGGTTACTACTTTACCTTGTCCCATGGTTCTGTACATTACAAAGTACATCTTATCTCATTCATGTAAGACTGTGTAGATGCTCCTAAGTCTTGCTTAAGTGCTTTGTGAAATTTGACTTGCGCTTAAATGCTTTGCAGAAGCAAGTGCTTAAATGTCTTCAGTGGGTTAAACACGAACTTAAGTGTTTTGCTGAATCAGGGCCGCAACTGTGAAAGCCTGTTAGTGTAACTGAATTTTACACTGTTGTATATTTGGAAGCTGGGTTAATGTTGATCCAATGTGAACAAGGCTTAAAATAGCAGTGTTGTGAAGATGGTCAGGGAAATTTCTATAAACTCAATTTTTCTTTTAAAAGTAGAGTCTACAGAATCTGAGTGTAGCTTTTTGGAAGTTAATTGAAGTTTTAATGCTCTAAATGCATATTTGTCTTGAAATTGGCTGTAACATATAGATTAAGTGAGCTGATTTTTGTCCTCTCATATAGTGGGTAAATTTAAATAATTTGTGGCCTGCGTAAATTCTCGAATAACAGAAGCTGATGAGTGAATTAAAAAAACAGTTTAAAAACAGCTAAATCTAAGAGTGTTGAACAGTAGGGTCCATTTTGAACAAATGCAAGATTAATCTTAGTATTTCAGTCAGTGCCTAGGTACTGTGGTGATGGTCGTATTGGAAATATGAGGGTAATGTAAAGGAAGACTTGTTAAAAAGCTACTTTATAATCTAATTTCTTTTCACTTAATTCTTGTTTTATTTTTGACACTGCTACTATTATGAAATCCAAACCCAGTAATTGTATAATTTACATTTTGGAAATTTTTCATATTGTGCTAGAATAGTCTTGTTTTAGCAACAAAAACAAAACCCTGCAATATCGTATAACTGGGTATTTGTACTTTTGAATTCTAATCCTGTTCTCCAAAATGTCCTTACAGTCTGCCATCTGCAGATTTTATAAGCATACTCTCCACTCCATGATCCAAGTCATTTAGGAAAATATTGAATACTACTGATCCCTTCGTAACTCCTTTTGATGCACTTTCCCAGTTTGACAGCAAACCACTGATAACTGCTCTTGGAGTATGGTCTTTTAACCAGTTGTTCACCTACCTTACAGTAAATTCATCTAGACTGCATTTCCTTAGTTTGCTTATGAGAGTTCCATGTGGGGCGATAGAATAAAATCAAGAGCTTTCATGTCTTCTGCTTCCCCGCTATTCACTTGGCCAGTAACCTTCTCAAAGAAGGAAATTAAGTTTGTTTAGTGTTCTTGACATCTTGGCTATTCCTTAAATTCCTATTATACTCTACGTCAGTGGTTTTCAACCTTTTTTCATTTGTAGACCCCTAAAAATTTCGAATGGAGGTGTGGATTCCCAGGGGTTCATGGACCACAGGTTGAAAACCACTGCTCTAGTTGCTTACAGTTTGATAGTTTAATAATTTGTTCCAGTATCTTTCCAGGTATTGAAATTAGGCTGACTGATCTATAATTTCCCGGGTCCTCTTTGTTCCCCTTTTTAAAGACAGGTGCTATATTTGTCCTCCAGTCTCTGGGACCTCACTCGATGTCCATGAGTTCTTGAAGATAATTGCTAATGGTTCCAAGATTGCTTCAGATTAGAGATTGGATTTGGATTATTAAAGAATGATTTTGAGCATATGTTTCCTCACGGTTTATATGTCCTGTCCCTGTAGACCTCCCAGCTCCTACTGGGACATGTAGTTTGGTTTTAAGCCCCGTCCTAAACTCTGACTCACTGCTAGTGGAACACCATACCAACCGTACTACAGCTGCTTTTGGTTTCTCTCTCCTTTTCTGTTCCACTCCTTCTCCTCTTCATATCTGACCCCATTCCTGTAGTTTTTATCTTCTTTTATCTTCCTCACCTCTTGTGTCTTACTGAACTTAATCTGTTTCTCTTCCCCTCTTAATCATGCCTGTGCTGCTCATGTTCTTGCTCAGCACTTCTGAACCATTGTAAAAGGAAACTGATGTATTCCTAGTCAGTTTCATTCTGCAGCTCCTGCTGAGCCAGGAGTAAAATTTTTAAGAGAAGCACAAATACAATCTGGTACTGGGAAGATAATTTTTCTTTTCTTTCCTCTTTACCAAGTGCACCCCATAGCATCAGAGGATAAGAATATCTGAACAAGTTTTTTCCACATTCTAGCAGCAGAGAGAAACTGAAGAGTTCATCAGTTTCATTTCTGTTGGTTCTGCCTGTGTCACACTATCTAGTTGTTACATGTAGGAGCTTCAGCAGAGTGTGATCGTCCCTGTGGGAATGTTAATGCATAGTGTATTTGAAAAACTGGGATACCCTCAGCCTTGCTCTGTTTCTAAACCCCTCTAATATGTTATGGCATCTCACAACTCAGCTTCTCAAGAATGTGCTCACTACAGGTATACGTGGTGAGTCCTTGTTAGGTTGGGGATACCTCTGGCTGATGAAAAAACAAGGGCCCTTTGCTAAGCTGACCTATTTAGGGAGTGGGATAGATACAGACTGGTGTATCTAGATTCCCACAGGATACGCTGGGGGAACGTCTGGGATTGATTATCAAGGCTATAGTGGCAAGGAGGCATACAGTGCTGAAGCTGCAATCTGTTATTGGGCATCTTAACTTTGTATGCTGAATGGTGGCCACAGGGTCATTTTGGGCATTTTGCACCAGGCGGTCATTGGGAATATCAAAGCCCACCATTTTATAAGCTTAATGAAGAGGTGAAGGAGGATTTGGGGACTTGGGAACAGTTTCTGAATCATTTTAATGGAGTGTCTTTTTGGAGGGAGGAACGGATTATAGAGACACAGTTATAGATCGTTTGCTCTTGTTTTTGATCAACATGAATAACTTAGCACTCAGCACCACAGTTAAAGCCCCGCTTTACTCTCCGCTGTAGATGACCTGCC